CGTTGCGCTCTATACCGCTACCCGGATATTATTATCCGCAGTTACTTGATAACTATAAATTGTAGTTACTAAGATAACTTGAGCGTGCCAGACTTTATACCTTAATCCCCCAATGGAACGCAGGTTATTTTTATAAATTTTGTATCCTTCAACTAAATTCTTTGTTCAGATAAGGAAAAGATGTCGCTCCGAATCAGCAAAATTGAGGAGAGCTAGGAAGGCGAATCGACATCAAGCTAAAAAAAATGTTTTCTCAAAGCACACACAAGTTGCAACTTGCGAACTTCGAGGTACTTCAATCAGATAATAATAAGAAAATAATTATTCATTAAGATGGATCATGATGGTGTTGAGAAGCAGAAACATCTGACTGCTGTAGAAAAATCGGACAAAACGCAGCTGCGGCACTGTTTGGCTTCAAAGACTCTACATCAGAGGATAGAAGAAGCACGGAGCTACATTCTAGCTCAGAGAAATGAATGGCAGAGAACAACGAGATTAACTTTTCTCGACAACTTCAAACAGTACTTGCTAGAAGTTCATGAAAACATCCGAATTATATCCGAAAAAATCCAATAAATTTTTTTCTTCTTCATCAAACTATTAAAATCATCTCACAGAATAACACACAAAACACGCAACAAAAAATAAAAATTATTCGGTTCAATCACCCAAGTTTGAGGTAAATATTTGAGAGTACAGTATGAATCATTATCATGAAAACAAATAAGAACCCATAAGAAATACATTTTGAATAGAAAATTTGACGGAAAAGACATTCCCTCTGGTTTAATTACCCAAGTTTGAGATACATAATTCGAAGAATTGATTTAGCAAATTTTCTTATCGACCCCGATAAACTTATGATCGTCATGGTGAGAACGAACTGATATTAATTGCAAGAGCAGTTCATTACAGGAAAAAACGTAGGGTCTCGGCCGTATTTCTATATAACTGAACTGTATAATATTGTTTCGAAGCTAGTTTTCTACTCTTTACAGATGATCGACAAAACTATAGCATTTGTTTCGCACATCACTCAGATCCCGTCAAGAGAGAAGCTCAATATAATTAATTTATTAAAGACTCAGATTGAAAGCAATAAATTAGAATGACCGATTTGAAAGCTTGAATACGTATGAACATTATTATTATTATTAATGAAGACTATCAATAATTTTCTGGATCAGAGCATCGTCAACAGCTTTACCATCCCAGGAGAAGGTTCTATGTAGTGATGCGAGAGGGACTAATGAAGATGTGTCTTCCAGTGCTACCCCAACTATCGTTGTTGATCCTTTTGCCATCAAATCACCAGCAAAGCCTTGTGCTTCATCCGTGCCTCTTAAAAGCAATATGTTCAAAACAGACTGTTATGCCTTGTGTTTATAACCTAGAGTACGAAAAGAGGATAGTGTGTTGAACACCATACTGTGGGTCATTATCAATCAAACTAGCTTCCTTGAAAACTCTAGAAAGGGTTTTTTGAAAATCTATTAAGCATTAGAGAGACGAGCACCTCTCAATGTTTGGAGAATCATGTGTTCGCGGTTCTTGAGCAATTATGTCTTCAGCGTCAAGCTTAGAAACGATGGTTCCGTAAGAATGTTCATCATTTAGCAAACCATCTCCGAAACATGTTATGTAAACTCTTTCAAAGTTGGTCCAACTTTGGATGAGTTTCATAACAAATTGGATTTGTTGGTTATGCTTAAAATTTGTGTGACGAATGTTCCAATTTAATTTCTATTCTCACTTGATCATCCGTTTGGGCATTAGAACAATCCATGATGAGAAGGATGCTTGACATCTCAGGTACAACAATGTCAGTAACTGTAAATGAGAAAAAGAGTTTAAATAATTATTTTGTTTATAATTTCATAATTACAAATATGCATTTTTCTATTTTCTGAATGATAAAGAAATTCTTATTCGATGCTTCGAAAACATTGAGATGTGAGATATGGAAAGGTGGTTGAGCTAGAAGAGCTGTTCTTAACATTGAAATTCTAATATTATTAAGGAGCTCAGAGGGTTTTAAGGGCGTGCGCATCTGTTACACTTGGCGTACCGATAGTTGTTTTCTCCTTGGGTAACGAGGTTGTTTTGGCTGTTGTACTTTGAGTAGTATGAGCATTGGTCGTCTTTACTGTTGTAGAGCCTCCAGTGGTACTAGCAACCGTCGTCTTTACAGTTGTAGAACCTCCAGTGGTACTAGCAACGGTCGTCTTTACTGTTGTAGAGCCTCCAGTGGTACTAGCAGGGGTTGTTTTTACTGTTGTAGAGCCCCCAGTGGTACTAGCAGGGGTTGTTTTTACTGTTGTAGAGCCTCCAGTGGTACTAGCAACGGTAGTTTTTGCTGTTGTGCTCTGAGCGTATTCTTCTCCTGGAACATCATAACGATAGGTATTTATCATGAAAATACAAACC